CCCCAAAACCCCAAAACCCCAAAACCCCTAATATCAGAATTTATTGTAGGCAAGAGAGAGATTTAGAATTAGATTTATATAAGTTATATATTCATTTAATCCATAATTAGCAAGGAAGAAATTCTCCATAATGAGAAGTCTTACCCTGGATTGCTCGTCTCATTACTCCTATTTCTTTTCAATACCCGCTCAACATCTATTTTGATTATAGTATTGATGTGCGCCATTGTTGTAGTTATTAGGATGATCTTGGGCACTCATGTCAGGGCAGTTGATGCTAGCCTCATCCATCATATTTTGATCGAAGTCGTCTAATTGTTCCATCAAATTTGGATCTCCGTCTATCACAGCCTGCTTAGTCTGATACAACTTTTGAAGGTTCTCCTCCATCTTCAAATGAGTGTAGAAATCAAGAAGTCTCTATCTCACCACTGAAATAAGCTCCATCTTGTGCAATAGAATAGCGTCCAGAGACGAAACATACTCTTCAATATCAGAACCTGGCTTGTCAACTTCATGCAATAACATCATTTCCTATAGTTTATATATAAGTAAATCGACATAAAATAGGTGAAATCTCTTACCTGCTTTACTAGATCTACCACATCATCAATATGCTGTCTGTGGCCGTTGATGAGCTCTTCTTCTTCCTCTAGGATCAGCTCCACAAGTTTTTCGTGGTCTTAGCAAACCTTCTCCACATCATTTCCATATTGATTTTCAAGTTGCGAGTAAGTCACAAGAGGCAAGTCTGTAACCTTTACCATAGTAGGATGAGTTGGTGGTTACTACTACTGCTGCTGCAATTACTGTGGTTGATATTACTGGCTGTTTTATTGAGCAAATGGCTGATGCATATTTGGAACATTTTGAGAGGATTGTCTATGAACTGGGAATTAGTGATTAGTTTATTGAGCAGTCATTGGCCTTTATTGAGGTTGCATGAGATCAAGACCAATTGAATTTTGCTTCTGATATGGCACTCTCTTTGTATTGGTGGCTGAGCCTTGAACGTTGCCAAAGCTGCCTTGAACTCCTCCTCCAATATTAGTATTTTATTAAGGTTGCTGCTACTACTATTGCTATTGTTATTGTTATTATTATTATTAATATCCCATCCCGATTCCAGTTTGAGTAGCACCCTGAGGTTGCCCAAATGTATTTTTCTTTAAAAGGGAAGGAGCATTGTTTCCATTTTGGGCATTTTGGTTGTAGAAGCTATTTGGAATTGGCTGTGGAGGTTGCATTTGAGTTGGTATAGAATTGACATTCTTGGGTTGCAGAGTGTTTTGATTAATTGTGATCTTTGTCACATTTGTGCTCTGTCTGGCAAGCATGAGTTGTCTGCTTAAGATATCCTCCTTGGTCTTAGGCTATGATATAGCCTAAACTTATTGTTGAATGGGCTAACCATTTGGCCCCAATAGTAGATTTTAAGCCATTTATTGCTCCTTTTTAAGTTCTTTCACTCTATCAGCGTAACGAAGAGTATTCAATGAATGCTCGCAGCAGGAGTTGGCTGGGGATACGTTAGCTATCATAGTTGTCTTTGAGTTGCCAGTAAATGAATCTTTAAGCACCTAGGTTAATTTACTTCCTCTGAAAGGCAAATGCTTCTTTTCAAGATCCAGAGCTCTGATACATTCTTTGAGAGCCAGCAAGGATTTGTTGATTTCAGCACCATCAAGTCTGGTTTGCTTGTTCTGATCAATGGTGTCAGCACCTCTCTCACTACCAGCTAGATCAATGAAGCTCATCTTTCCATAAGCTTTCTGATCCTAGACTCCCTTCAATTAAAGTTGCAAGATAGCGTGTGATCTGGAGCTGTCAGCATTGGCACCGGTAACGCCACTAGTTCTCGATTGCAGACCATTTCCTATGACTTGCATAATTTGCTCCACATTGGTGACTTGAACTTCTGATAGACCCACTATATTAACTTTCTGCTTGTGATCCTCTCTGCAATGCACCAATTCTCTATTATTGAGTAGATCGTAGAGCTTGCCACAATAGATTTCATAAAAGGACAGGTGCAGAGTAAGTTCAGGGTAGGATTGCAGTAGATTACAAATATCATAAGCAGCTAACAAGTATAGACCTGGGTTTGAACCATCTGCTGTTCCCATCATAGTAAAGGTCTTTCCCGAGCCAGTCTGACCATAGGCGAAGCAGGTTGTCTTGGCTCCAGCGAACGTGCACTCAACGAGAGGCTGGACGCAAATTTGGTAAATCTATTTGAAATCTTAAAAAGTGACTGAAAATTACCTCTTGATTGTCAGATTAATAATCAAATACATTGTCAAAATTAAAATTATGCTCTTCTATGTACTTAGTCAGATCCACCTTATTCCTATACACAGACTGGTAAATATGAATTCCCTCAAACATAGAGACCCCTCTCTCTCATCTCTCAGTATCTGACTAGAATGAGCACCCCATGCTAATCAGATGGTAGAGAGTGCTTATTGAAAGTGTGGATGGGATTATTTAAATTTCAGACAGATTTCAGTACTTACTTTAACTCCTTGACGACGAGGTGGGAACTACTGCGGACGTCCAAAATGTCGCTATCAGCTTTTTTAAGCTCCTTTGAGGTGAGGGGACGCTTTCTAACGACTACTCTAATCTTAGGGGGCTCTTGATTGGCTTTTGCAGTTTGATTTTCCATTTATGAATATTGTATGAATAAATTTTGATTTTAAATTTCTAAAATTCCACTTAATAACAATCAATATTTATCAGTTCTTATGGGGTTTTGGGGTTTTGGGGTTTTGGGG